GTTTTTTGGGGAGAGGGGGGGATTAAATTATGGGGAAACAAATTCAAAAAAGGGAATTGACACAGTTACTTTTTGCTGATGGGTATGTGCTTATGGGAGATTTCTAAAGAAAAAATTTCAAAGGTTAGTGGGGTGAGTTTTTGGGAAAGTGTGTAAAGGAGAAAGTTGAAAGTAAAAGAAAAGGTAAGGTGATGGGGGTCAAATGATTTAGATAAAGAAAAATTGGGATATCAAAATTTTGGGGGGAGAGTTGGGGAAAAAGTGAATGTTTTAGATACTTGGGAGTTGACGTGTCGGCGGATGGATTTTTGAAGGATGAGGTTAATCATAGAATTGATGAGGGAAAAAAGGTGAGTGGTGCGTTGAGGTATATGTGGAGTCAAAAAACGTTATCTATGGAGGCAAAGAAGGGAATGTATGAAAGTATAGTAGTACCAACACTCTTATATGGGTGTGAAGCTTGGGTGGTAAATGCAGCAGCGAGGAGACGGTTGGAGGCAGCGGAGATGTCCTGTTTAAGGGCAATGTGTGGTGTAAATATTATGCAGAAAATTCGGAGTGTGTGAAATTAGGAGAAGGTGTGGAGTTAATAAAAGTATTAGTCAGAGGGTAGAAGAGGGGTGTTGAGGTGGTTTGGTCATTTAGAGAGAATGGATCACAGTAGAATGACATGGAAAGCATATAAATCTATAGGGGAAGGAAGGCGGGGTAGGGGTCGTCCTCGAAAGGGTTGGAGAGAGGGGGTAAAGGAGGTTTTGTGGGTAAGGGGCTTGGACTTCCAGCAAGCGTGCGTGAGCGTGTTAGATAGGAGTGAATGGAGACGAATGGTACTTGGGACCTGACGATCTGTTGGAGTGTGAGCAGGGTAATATTTAGTGAAGGGATTCAGGGAAACCGGTTATTTTCATATAGTCGGACTTGAGTCCTGGAAATGGAAAAGTACAATGCCTCCCACTTTAAAGGAGGGGTTTGGGATATTGGCAGTTTGGAGGGATATGTTGTGTATCTTTATATGTTTATGCTTCTAGACTGTTGTATTCTGAGCACCTCGCAAAAACAGTGATAATGTGCGAGTTGTGGTGAAAGTGTTGAATGATGATGAAAGTATTTTCTTTTTGGGGATTTTCTTTCTTTTTTTGGGTCACCCTGCCTCGGTGGGAGACGGCCGACTTGTTGAAAAAAAAAAAAAAAAAAAAAAAAAAAAAAAATATATATATATATATATATATATAAAATATATAAAATATTATATTTTATATAAATATATATATATATATATTTTCAACAAGTCGGCCGTCTCCCACCGAGGCAGGGTGACCCAAAAAAAGAAAGAAAATCCCCAAAAAGAAAATACTTTCATATCATTCAACACTTTCACCACATGCACACATTATCACTGTTTTTGCAGAGGTGCTCAGAATACAACAGTTAAGAAGCATATACATATAAAGATACACAACATATCCCTCCAAACTGCCAATATCCCAAACCCCTCCTTTAAAGTGCAGGCATTGTACCATTGTACTTCCCATTTCCAGGACTCAAGTCCGACTATATGAAAATAACCGGTTTCCCTGAATCCCTTCACTAAATATTACCCTGCTCACACTCCAACAGATCGTCAGGTCCCAAGTACCATTCGTCTCCATTCACTCCTATCTAACACGCTCACGCACGCTTTTCTGGAAGTCCAAGCCCCTCGCCCACAAAAACCTCCTTTACCCCCTCTCTCCAACCCTTCGAGGACGACCCCTACCCCCCTTCCTTCCCCTATAGATTTATATGCTTTCCATGTCATTCTACTTTGATCCATTCTCTCTAAATGACCAAACCACCTCAACAACCCCTCTTCTGCCCTCTGACTAATACTTTTATTAACTCCACACCTTCTCCTAATTTCCACACTCCGAATTTCTGCATAATATTTAAAACTACACATTGCCCTTAGACAGGACATCTCCACTGCCTCCAACCGTCTCCTCGCTGCTGCATTTTACCACCCAAGCTTCACACCCATATAAGAGTGTTGGTACTACTATACTTTCATACATTCCCTTCTTTGCCTCCATAGATAACGTTTTTTTGACTCCACATATACCTCAACGCACCACTCACCTTTTTTCCCTCATCAATTCTATGATTAACCTCATCCTTCATAAATCCATCCCCCCGACACGTCAACTCCCAAGTATCTGAAAACATTCACTTCTTCCATACCCTCCTCCCAATTTGATATCCAATTTTTCTTTATCTAAATCATTTGACACCCTCATCACCTTACTCTTTTCTATGTTCACTTTCAACTTTCTACCTTTAACACACATTCCCACTCATCCACTAACCTTTGCAATTTTTCTTTAGAATCTCCCATAAGCAAAATAATCACCAGCAAAAAGTAACTGTGTCAATTCCCATTTGAATTTGATTCCCCAAAATTTAATCCCACCCCTCTCCAAACACCCTAGCATTTACTTCCTTTACAACCCCATCTATAAATATATTAACAACCATGGTGACATTACCATCCCTGTCTAAGACCTATTTATTTACCGGGAAGTATTCTCCCTCTCTTCTACACACCCTAACCTGAGCCTCACTATCCTCATAAAAACTCTTACAGCATTTAATAACTTACCACCTATTCCATATACTTGCAACATCTGCCACATTGCTCCTCTATCCACTCTATCATATGCCTTTTCTAAATCCATAAATGCAATAAAAACTTCCCTACCTTTATCTAAATACTGTTCACATGCAAATAAATAAATAAAACTGTTTCATATGTAATATACAGAGAATATACTGAATGTACAGTGTCCAGAAACGGAAAGTGGTGAAAACTCTATTAATAATAATAATAATAATAATAATAAAAATAATAATAATCATATAAAAAAAAAAACCTTTATGTATATTACTGAAAAGAATAAAAGTCACAAGATGGCGGGAAAAATTTCACAACTAATCCACAAATTGTAGTGTTTAGGTCCACAGTAGCCCCAAAAACACACACTGAAAATTATTACCAATTTCTGCTTTGGAGGCAAAGAGGGGAATGTATGAGAGTATAGTTTTACCAACGCTCTTATATGGGTGTGAAGCCCTGTGTGAAAGAATGTTGCAGCGAGGAGAAGGCTGGAGGCAGTGGGGATGTCATGGGCTGAGGGCAATGTGTGGTGTGAATATAATGCAGAGAATTCATAGTCTGGAAGTTAGGAGGTGCGGGATTACCAAAACTGTTGTCCAGAGGGCTGAGGAAGGGTTGTTGAGGTGGTTCGACATGTAGAGAGAATGGAGCGAAACAGAATGACTTCAAAGAGTGTATCAGTCTGTAGTGGAAGGAAGGCGGGGTAGGGGTCGGCCTAGGAAAGGTTGGAAGGAGGGGGTAAAGGAGGTTTTGTGTGCGAGGGGCTTGGGCTTCCACAGGCATGTGTGAGCGTGTTTGATAGGAGTGAATAGAGACAAATTGTTTTTAATACTTGACGTGCTGTTGGAGTGTGAGCAAAGTAACATTTATGAAGGGGTTTTAGGGAAACCGGCAGGCTGGACTTGAGTCCTGGAGATGGGAAGTACAGTGCCTGCACTCTGAAGGAGGGGTGTTAATGTTGCAGTTTAAAAACTGTAGTGTAAAGCACCCTTCTGGCAAGACAGTGATGGAGTGAATGATGGTGAAAGTTTTTCTTTTTCGGGCCACCCTGCCTTGGTGGGAATCGGCCATGTGATAATATAATATATTCTGGATGAGCTGTTAATTATTACTGTTCAACAAATAGACAGCAAAAATTTTTCACTGAAAAACAGAGCTGTGCAAACTACAGACAATGAAAATTCAAGAGGCAAACTATCAAACTAAATCTTACACACTTACCGAAACACGACCAACAAGTGTACCAATAGTTTCAAAGCAGCCTGGCAATGTTGACAAGCTGGCCAGCTAGGTTGGGAGGCCAAACTAATAGCGAGATGAGGCGGTCCAGTAAGACAGGGATGAAACGGACAAGTGGCTCGGCATGACAATTACGAGATCCCCCCATGCTACAAAAAAAAAAAAATTCTCTGAATAATTTTCTTTTGAAGTAAAAAAAAGGAATATCTGGCTTTCTGTATTTTTGAAAAAAAAAAAAAATACACTCAGTCACTCACCGAATCACACACACTTGCTCACCAGCTCACTCGCTCATCAACTAACTCGCTGTCACTCTCCGAACTTTTACTGAATTCATGCACAATACAGTTTGTTTTATTAATTTTTTGGTTTGTAAGAAATAAGCTAAAAAAATTATTTTTAACACAGTATATTCCTCAAGTTTGTAAATGTTCATATTCAAAATACATCTTAGCCTGTGATCTTATGTTCAAAATGACTGTGGCTGTGAAAGTCAAAGGTACTGCAAATTATCAGAGTCCAAATTTAGGGAGATAGCTGAATAACAAATGACTTTAGTTATAATCCTTATGTTACACAAGAAGCACAGAGAGATAAAGGAAAGTACTTACGCCCTCTTGAGCTCCCCTTCCATATTGCTTCACCAATGCGTGCAGGAATATTGCCCTCTTCAACCATCTTACATAATGGAAAAAACGGTCGATGTGCTTGTCCTGAAATAAGTAAATTCAGTATCACAATGAATGCTGAAAGATATTCAGCACAAACTGCCACGTCCCTTTTTCATGAGCATAATCTGTGTACAGGAGGGTCGTGTTCATACAGCAGGTTAGGTTATGAGCTACTGCTGTAAAAGAAAAATTGCTGTAAACATAGCTTTTTTTTTCACTTTCAAATTCATATAAGAACTTGATATGTTTGAAGCCTTTTTTCACTTTCAAATGCATATAAAAATCTGACATGTTTAAACTATCATATATTAGATGAGCAATACAGCTAGGCCTAAAAACTGCATATATAGTACACACATTATTTACCTTAAAATATTTTCATACTTAGCTTACAGTGAATGGTGAATATATTTCTTGTAGGTATCCCGAATAAAGAATGGGTATAATTGAAAAACAGCTGTATCAGCAAAACACTGTAGAGTGAAGCAACATAAAGCAAAGCCCTCCTGTACATAAGATGTAAAGTGGCACAAACTCAAATCAACATTTCTCTGAAATGTTTATTATCAGTAATGAAATTGTTCTCTTCCAAATGAATGGGTTCATCCACAGGCAGCATTTGCTTACATACAGCATACTGTACCATCCAAAGATGATTCACATTTATTCATGTTTCATTAAAATGTATTTTCTTCTGCATGTTACTACTATTGCTTGCAACCTTCACCTGTGATCTACAAACTTGGTCATCTTACAGGGTGCCAGTTGAGATGATAAAACTTTTCCAAAGTTACCAACTAATTTTCTACTACTATAGTATTACTGTACATGATAACCTTAAAGAGTCTGCAGTCAAATGATATGAGCCATTCTAGCCTGCACATTGATTGACAAACATGTCTTTTTTTTTTTTTTTTTTCAAATATTATATAGCAAATGTTATAAAAAAGTTTTGTTATACAAATGTCATTAGTTTGTATAAAAGTGTAATTTGACATTATGCGGTGCTACCATAATTATGATTACATACAAAACACTACTGAACAGGTAATTTAATTACGTGTGATCTCTATTCTCAATACTTGCTCTGATTACAACAAGGACCAAATGTTTTTTTTTTATTATCACACCGGCCGATTCCCACCAAGGCAGGGTGGCCCGAAAAAGAAAAACTTTCACCATCATTCACTCCATCACTGTCTTGCCAGAAGGGTGCTTTACACTACAGTTTTTAAACTGCAACATTAACACCCCTCCTTCAGAGTGCAAGGCACTGACTTCCCATCTCCAGGACTCAAGCCGGCCTGCCGGTTTCTCCCTGAATCCCTTCATAAATGTTAACTTTGCTACAACTCCAACAGCACGTCAAGTATTAAAAACCATTTGTTTCCCCTTCACTCCTATCAACATCCTCACGCATTGACCTTGTGGAACTCCCAAGCCCCTCGCACACCAAAAACCCCCTTACCTCCTCCCTCCAACCCTTCCTAGCCGACCCCTACCCCGCCTTCCTTCCACTACAGACTGATACACTCTTGAAGTCATCTGTTTTCGCTCCATTCTCTCTACATGTCCGAACCACCTCAACAACCCTTCCTCAGCCCTCTGGACAAAAAGTTTTGGTAAATCCCGCACCTCCTCCTAACTTCCAAACTACAATTCTCTGCATTATATTCACACCACATTGCCCTCAACATGACACTCCACTGCCTCCAGCCTTCTCCTCGCTGCAACATTCATCACCCACTTCACACCCATAAAGAGCGTGGTAAAACTATACTCTCATACATTCCCCTCTTTGCCTCCAAGGACAAAGTTCTTTGTCTCCACAGACTCCCAAGTGCACCACTCACTCTTTTTCCCCCATCAATTCTATGATTCACCTCATCTTTCATAGACCCTCCGCTGACACGTCCACTCCCAAATATCTGAAAAACGTTCACCTCCTCCATACTCTCTCCCTCCAATCTGATATTCAATCTTTCATCACCTAATCTTTTTGTTATCCTCATAACCTTACTCTTTCCTGTATTCACCTTTAATTTTCTTCTTTGCACACCCTACCAAATTCATCCACCAATCTCTGCAACTTCTCTTCAGAATCTCCCAAGAGCACAGTGTCATCAGCAAAGAGCAGCTGTGACAACTCCCACTTTGTGTGTGATTCTTTATCTTTTAACTCCACGCCTCTTGCCAAGACCCTCGCATTTACTTCTCTTACAACCCCATCTATAAATATATTAAACAACCACGGTGACATCACACATCCTTGTCTAAGGCCTACTTTTACTGGGAAAAAATTTCCCAAATGTATTAAGCTTATAAACAAGGCCAGATATTACTGCACAAATTACTGACAATCGAAAACAGTTAAACTTTTGTGGATTTGCTATCACGCAGACCTCCAGAAGAATGAAGAAGCTGATAGCTTGGCTAAACCAGTAATAAGCAAAATTATATTTGACATTTGTTCAAATAATGTTTTGGTTTCTCAACCAAAAGTTTAAAACTCACTGTCCCCTCAAGGAAGATTCCTTGATGCAAGTGCAGGGCTCCTGATACAAGGAACTGGATGTGATTTTCCCTTCCTTGGGACAAACTAGACTCATGAAATCATAACACGATTGCAAACAAACCACAGTATGGGTTGGGTTAGAAATCGTGGCAATTGAGTTGTAAAACTCCAAACTGGAATGTTTAACATTCTCTCAGGCATTGTAAGACCCCTATATATAGGTTTAGCACTTCCCACTGAATATTGTTGCTCAACTGCAATTACAAAGCACTAGAACCTTGAGGTTATTCAGCACTTTAAATATAGTTGTTTTTTTTTTCAACACACCAGCCAACTCCCACTGAGGCAGAGTGACCTAAAAATCATTCACACATAATCAGTGTCTTTGCAGAGGTGTCCATATGACAGTCTAGATGTCACTCCAA